AGGTTGCGCAGCAAACTGGCGCCAGGCGCCCACTCAGAACTCAGAGATATAGTACCAAGAACTCAGTTCAGATACAAGTTCACTTCCACTGGCTATGGCGGCACATCGCCTGTACAACTCTCTGTCGTCACTCACTCAACACTGTTGTTCGCACACAGGATCACCTTGGATATCCCACACGCAACACTTTGTACCCTCGCGCACACACTCACACACACCTACAGTTGTGGCGGCTATGGTTGCTACTACCCTATCGCTATGGCTATCTCCTTCTCGCTCACTTCGTCCTCGGGCTCACTGCAGACCACCTCGCACAAGTCGTTATGGCAGCGCTTCCGCATGGCTTACGCAGGAATGAATAAATGGCTGGACGCTGCCTCCTGATTTATACCTCTGTAGCTCGCTGGTCTGGCCCTTTTCCATCGGTCCATTGTGCACAAAGTCCCATATGGTACTTCCTGGACTAAACTAGGACTGACTAGACCGTACCGCTGACTGCATGGGGTTGGACCGCAACCTCACTGCAGTTGCACTGCCAACATACTGAGGTTGGCTCCACCACTTGCCCACTTGCCTCTATTTAACGTGAGCCTACTCCGAAAGGCCACTTTCGGAAGTCTGTAGACTTGGCCTTTCGGTACAGTAGCAACTACGACCTTGACCCTTCGGACAGGCTACAGCTACGACTTCTAGAACTCACTAGGACTCCTATCCGACAGGTCGACAGATCGAACCCCTACCCCTGCACCGACCTACGACAGACAACAACAACTGTCAAAACACAGGTCACGGGTTCAAACACTCGGGGTCGACACAAATACAGGTAAGGTGAGAACTAGGGATCGAGTCCTAGACAACTATTTAGGCACCGACCTGCAACCTCTGCCATAGGCGCATGTGGTGTGGGAGTTTCCTGCCGGCTCGCGCTCGTTTCCCCACATGGCCTTATGGTAGGCGCAGTTGCTACCCCTACCGGCGGCTGCCTTTTGACCCCTGAGCAGGTGTGGTGCTCCGCCAGGGATAGATATGGAGATGCAGGAAGAAGGGGAGGGAGATGGCACAGCGCAGCTCCCACGCCAGACTCCAACGCACGTACTCCAAACTGTGCGAATGCAGAATGAGACAGAAAACAAACAACAACTGGGGTATACCCCAACGGACTGACGGGATTGGACTGGACTGGCTGTTACCGACAGAGGTACCGGCCTGGACTGGACTGCCTCAAATAGAACACAGGCCTGTGAGAACAGGCCAAGGGGCTGCTCTCACAGGCCAATCAGAGGTCCGTTACGCGATCCTCGGCCTGTGATGGATCGCCTAGATACAAGCACGCTTCCGCCAAGAAGCGGAACTCTACCAAAGAAAAAAGAAAACCTGAGTAGTCTAGGATGTGGAGCAAGCTCCATGATGAGTCCATGCGATGCAACCTAGAACAGAAAATGTCACAAAAACAGCAATGTCACAACTAACAGCCTAAAATGAAATTCCGTATAGAGCCTATGTCTGCGAAGGTGTCAACCTTGCGGCCACCTACATCTACTTCTACCACGAAATGTTCACCCTTGGGACCTCTACTGATCATCGCCCAAGAGTCCCTAGGGTCCTTCCCTGACCACTCAGTCTCTAACTCTTCTAGGGCCTCAGACACATCTCTTGAACAGAGCGTCGGTGGGTCTAAATGTGTCTGCGGGGCGATGTATGGGTCACTAGCCTTGGCCAACACCTGAAGTGGGGAAGGCAACGTTACCACTTCAGCGGGAGTAAGAGCGGCTAACACTCCTACTGGCCCGAGGTGTTTCCCTGTGAGCTGCTCGCAGAAGCACTCCCAGGGTTCGAAGATAAGCCCACCACCGTTGGTGAGGCTACCTTCATTGTGACCTTCTTGCCACGGCAAGTCCTGGACGTGTGGCCATAGTTGCCACAGTTCATGCATGTGCCCCTGGCAACTCGGTCCCTCCACACCTCGTAGTCCAAACCAAGCTTTACCCATGCGGGTGTCCCTTGCTCTCCCTGACCCGTGGACCGTCCTACCTTCTTCTTCCCGGTCCCCCTAGCCTTTTCCTTGATGGGCGTCACGACTCCCCCATCTGAAGTCTCGCTGGCCCTATCCTGCTCTGTCAACTCCCCAAGGTTTGGGAAATCGTCAATCTCCGTCGTTTGACCATCATGGTCAACGAACATTAATTGACCCTTCTTCTTCCAGTCTTGGGGCAGTCTCTTCCTACCATCATGGGATACCTTATGCGCAGATCCCACCTTTGCCTCTGTTTCCAGAGCTTTCTTACTAAAAGAAGCGAAAGTGTGTTGTTTGACATCGGCCTCGTCAACCAGCTTGGTCCTTACCTCTGCAGGTAGGCACCTTAGGTAATCTGTTAGGAGAACCTGCTGGTCAAAACGCACACCAGGTACCACGAGGAGGCGTTCCACGGTGTCCGTAAGCTCTCTAACATCCTTGAACCTGCGGTAACAAAGGTTGTTGATAGCATCAGTGGCCTTTTGAGCCCCTTGTGGGTCATGCCACCTGTTGTAGACTGACCGTACGAACTGTTCCAATGTCTGAGCCTGAGCCCAGGCATCGAAATCCTGACCGTAGCCCTGTTGCTGCACTAAGCCATTCAACCAGCGGGCTGCTGATCCCTCTCAAAAGGATGCAGCCACTACAACTTCCTGTTCTGGTCTTGTAAGCTTGTGCCTTACATAAGTAGGCACAGTCCTCACCCAGGTGTCCAAGTCCTCCTCCTTCTTTCTATCTCCAGAGAAGGGCTTGGGACTCATCAGAGGTATCTTAGGCATCCATTGCATAGGCTGAATGGCCCAAGGGGCTTGCTGCAGCGGCTGCATAGCCACTGAAACAGGCTGTTGCACACTAACCTGGGCCTGGCTCGACAGTGGGACTGTAATTACCACTGTCGTGGATGGTACGGCCGAGACTCTTGGAACCGGACCACTAGTTGCTACCAAACCACCAGGAGGGGGCATGCCAAACATAGGAGAGAAAGTTTGCCCTGTGCGTTGCGGCATAGATGATGGACCCGCACCTACAAGGGGAACTACAACAAACTGTGGCTGCCTCACCATTGTGCGAGGAGCCCGAAGTTCAGCCATAATTTGTTTCTGGCCTGCCACTAAATCACCCAACAATTCTTGTTGGACGTTCTGCGCTTCTGCCACTGAAAGTAAAGCATTGCGCAGCACACGACCAGCAGGGTCTAATGATGCCTCATCTAGTGTTTCCAATCTGCCTAGTTCCTGCATTCTACTCTCTAGTCTAGCCTTTCTAAGTATAGCTTTTCTTTTCCTCTCCGTTGCCTCGTCGAACTGCCGTTGTAGCTCATCCTGAAGTTCTTCTGCTTGGCGGATTTCTAAGTCCTCCGCCGTGAGTTGAGTTTGCTGGCTGACTCGCACGACAACAATCTGACTAATGGGAACCTGAGAGCCACTCTGACTGACTCCTGAAGAAGTGGACTGTGTAGAGACTTGCGACATAGCTGAGGTTGTCATGGCTGCACCTGTACTAGCTGAGACACTAGTCTTGGCACTATCCTCAGCTGCCCTCGCTCTCCTTGCCGTTGTTCTCTCGCTAGCCTCTCTCCTCAATCTTCTCTCGTCTCCTGGACCTAACTCCAAGAATGTCAAGGGTCGACTACGAGCAGTCCCGCGAGTAGTCCTACGGTCGTCCACTAGCAACTCCTCCTCACTAGTGCTTGCATCACTCATGGGCTACAATGTGTGTGATCTAAACTAGAATCCACACTGAATCCTACCTTAGCCTGACAGACAACCGATTATGAATCACAACTAATTTCAGTCGGATGGAACAGAAACAGTTAGGTGATATATTAACAACTAATGTCAGGTCCTACGGGATATATTAATTATATTTTTAGATTACCCTGGAACAGATTGTACTACAACAAAGATCTAATCTGTCTGTAGTTGTCTATCAGTTGTTAGCGAAGTATGTCACAACTAGATAATCAAAATAAAAATAACATCTCATGTTTGAAATGTATACTGGATGGCAGATTGATAGTTGATTGCCACTGTGAACAGTTATCGGAATCCCCCCTCCCCCTGTATCCTTCTTGATTGGTCACTTTGTGTCAACGTTCCTGAGCATCTGGTTGAGCAGTGTGTCTGAAGGTGTGCAATCCGGCCCACCCCTGTGCCCCAAGTCATTGTCGAACAAGCCAGTCAGTCCACTCTTATTTACCCTCGTACGGAACGACCCTTACACCCGGTTGATCTGGCTGATCAGGAGGAATTTTAGGAGAGCCCCCATCTCCTCAGGAATTATTTAACGTCGCAGTCAGGACGACAATCACAACCAGATTCAATCCGAGTCCCGAACCAGAAATGTTTATGGACGGTCTGGTAAGCGTCTCTTAAAAGGCTGGCATGCCCGACACGACCTCTATTGCGCAAGCAGCAGAACCAAGGACTTGCAGCAAAGCATGCGCGTACTAGAACCAGCGGGTTGGCATGGTGACCGTGACCCGAGTGCTTCATCCAGGGCCCTTCAGAGGCTACGCCCGTCTCCCACCAGCTTGCTGCCCAGGAAGAATGTCGACTCTCAAGGTTGAGCGCTCGCGACACCTCACATTGAGAGGACCCTCAAGACAGAAATCACTTCCTCACGGTAAGAAGAGATGAAGAGGGTAGATAAGGAAGAGAGCAACATACCTCATTAATGCTGCCCCCAACCACAGATTTCTCACCGGTAACCTGATGTGCAATTATGATGACCGGTCTTTGCTTCAGCACAACCAACAGCAGAATGCGGTTCCACCTCAGCTTAATATGTCACATCAGCGAGTTCTCATCATCCAGCATACACCCCGTATGTCACCACATAGCTCCCTGGCGCGCCCACACTACCCTGGCCCGCCTATCGTTCAACGCAAATGCCTTATCACTGCCCCACACCTCATGCGAAGCACCAATAGCTATTGCGAAGAACCAATGAAGCGCAATATGAACCAGCTCCGATACCAAATTGCAAGGAAAATAAGCAACAGCGAGATGACAATTCCAGTTCACACCATCACATTGAAAGCCAGATAGTCACACTGTGTCCAGAGAGCAGCATTGCACCAATAATACACCAATGGAAGTTCATAGCACTGAAAACCAATGTTCATGGAGAGCAAACTCTCTCCCCTCAACACAAGAGTCCAGTTCCTTCACACTCACACTTGGCGCTCAGCGCCCAGCCTGCTCCTACACAGCTACTAAAGACTACAAAAAGACAATGCAACTGTTGACATCAGCGGCAGCCCGAAGTACTTGAAGCTGTCGCCCATGCAGACCATCGCCAATACAAGGTACGTGCCCTCACATCATCATCATCATCATCCTTCACCTATCCCCTGACTACACCACACCTGACCTCTCTTTGACCCGAAGACCACCCCTGCGCTTACTGTAGTCCAAGCCCACCAGCTATGGTGGCTGGGCTATGGCGCTGCCCTCAGCAGCGCCCTCCTCCTCTTCACGACCGCACGTGCTGCACTTCGCCTCTCAGCGCTAGCAGCAGCCTACGAGCCTGAGCTCCAGCAGCGCTGCCGCCCAGCATGCGAGTGCCTGAATGAGGCTGCCTGGCCAGAGCTCTTTCCTTTATGGAAAAGAGCTGGCCAGCCCTCGCAGCCTGGCTGGGCTGGCCCGGGCCCAGAAGCTTCCGGAAGGCCCCAGGAGGCTGCCTGGATGCAGCAGCTACTGGGCTGCTGGGCCTTGTTCGGTTGGGCGCCCAACTGTCTCTGTATGAGGCTGCGAATCACGCCCAGGGCCTGCATTCTTTGGAAAGGCCCGGTAGGCCGTGGAAATGTCTTCGGTGCTCGGCCTGTGTTTCTTTCAACCAACTGGCGCATCGCAACTGCCTGGACCCCAAATATGAAATTGACAGTCGAGGGCCTTTTGCAAAAAGCCAGGCCCACCTTCACTTGGGGCGGGCACCTCCGCCTTCACTTAGGGCGGGTAAGGCTGCAGACAGGGCCCCATAGGCCTACCGAGGACCCTGATCCTCGCACAGATATGAATGGGAAGGAAAATGACTGGAATAATAATCATATTTTGGCCCAGGAGTTTTCACCAAGACCGTACTGCTGCAGACAGCATTTCCCTCGTACAGTGATGCACTGAGCAATTGATCACACCCAAGTAATTAATTCAGATGCATTCCTAGTATTGTCAGAAACATCAGTAAGTACAACTATTATCTAGAAAGGAGGGGAAGAAAAATTCACTCACCAATTGAAAAGGAGCCAATCAAAATCACACAAAAGAACCAGGTCGCTGAGAACACCCCCCTCTTACTGACAGGTGTCTCCAAGAACGAGCATACTGTCCTGAAGGAAGAAAGCGATGCAAGTTCGGTTTTTTCATAAACAGACAAATATAGACAAAATAAACGACATGACCAGAACGTCGTTAGCACAAAGTTTATCTGCATGACTACTCTCCCTCTCTGCCTGCCTTTTATGATATTCCCCACCACTCTCCCTCTCCCTCACTGTTTCCCCCGACCCCAAGAACGAGCTTATTGTCCTGGAAAAGGAAAATCCATGCGTGGCCTTTTTTCTGAAACAACCAAATATCTAGAGCAATAACAACATAAGGAGAGATGTTGATAGCAACAGACTTCTCTACATCCCTGTAAGCTTTCCACCAAAACCACACCCCTGTAACATGACTGGTGCAGAGAGGTCGTGCAGGGAGAGACTCAACTCTTACACAGACGAGTTCAACTGAACAGGACTGAGGGAGTGTGAGAGCAGGGAGGAGGAGGATAGAGAGAGATTCTCACAGGCTCAGACATCTGGCCTTCAGGCCGCACGATGCACAGTTTGGGTGCCCTCTAGAGCCATGGACATGATTTTGGACCTTGGTTTGGGTTATTCAGGAAGAGTTGTGGTTGTTTGTCTGTTTGTGGATTTCTTAGGGTTTTTATTATTCTCAATTTCTCAAGAGTATTTTTTTCTGTTCCAGGTTCGGTCTGGTCTTGGGTAGGAAGTTCTGGACTTCATTTGTCCAAACGGGCAGCTGGTACGCGAAGGTACTGGTTTCAACTTCTGGCCAGTTTAGGCCTAGCTGTTCTGATCCTGGCTAATTCCGAAGTGCAAATTCACAAGGAAAGACAATGCCACTCAATTGCAAAAGAAATGAAAGCACCTGCAAAGAGATAGAGACCAAAGAAGAAGAAAGAAGAAGAACAAGATGTACAACAGCAAGACCAATGACAAATCCCCCTTTTCTCACTCTTTTTTTTTTTTTTAAAGGAGGCCCTTGTACAAGACCTCTATCCTGGTGGTGGTAAGAGAACCACCGGGATTGAGGCTTTGCCTTGCGGGCCGCTCCATCTATTGGTGGGGAGCATCACCTGCTGAAAACCGGGTCCAGCGTCCCTTGAATACATCTTTACAAAATTGTACATCATTGAAAGTGACGCCATTGTGCTGGAAACCGGGTCCAGCATCCCATATCCAACCTTTTCCCCCATTCCTAACCTGTGGCACGGTCGGGTATTGGGGGGAGAGCCAGCGGGGGCCACCAGTGGAGTCTCCCTCCTAGCCCCTGCCATCCACCTGCTATCCTCATGGTGTCTATTGTGATCGTGTACGGGGAGTGCACTGAGAGTCATGTACTGAAAATTGGGCTTTTTTTCTGAGAGTGTAGAGAGGCTTGTGCTGAGAATCGGGCTCAGCGTCCCTTAGGGATGATTCTGAAAGAAAATGAGAAGATGGGGTATAACAACATTTTGGACCTCTGGGGACCCTGCCAACATTGATTGCCCTGGGTTACAGGGGATTGACTGTACAGGGTGGATGTGCCAGAATATGGATGAAAACCAGATAGTCAGGCACCGTCCCCCAGACGTTCCTCCAGGGCCAGCGGATGGGGGGGGAAAGGATCAGCGAATTCCTGGGCAGGTCGTAACGGTTCTCTGGGGTCCACCTTTGTCCATTCGTCGAGGTGCAGTGAATAGTCCCTCTCTAACACTGCCCTTTGCCCCTCTTGTGGACGCTTGTCGCCTGGCCAGCTCACTTTTGGCACCCAGCCTTCCCTTTTTCTCCCCAGCCAGTCCTCACGGAACCGGGAGATATACGTCTGTCGATGCCCATCTTGGTGCGTAACAGGTTCAGGTTTTCCTTAACACTGCCATTGTGTCGTGATCTCATACTCCACTAGTAACCGTAGTTGCTCCGTGGTTTCCCCCTCTTCCACCCTGGCCCCTTCCAGTTCCAGAATGCATCTTCTCCACCATATTACCCACAGGACGGAACGCCTGCCCAGGGAATACATGTTCTCCTGAAATGTGTTGCCCCGAGACTGGGGGTAGTGGCCCAATAATATGCCCCTCCAGTCCCATGGCCAGGGTGAGTCTGGTACAATATGCCGCCAGATCCTGTCCCACCATCGCCACAGTAGTACGGTTGCAGGGCACTGCAGGAAGATGTGTTCCACTGTCTCCGGGCGCTTTTTGCCTGGGAAATTCAGGAGGCACCTTCCACACCAGGGAAGCGCCCTTCCTTGCTGCTCCAGCCGTGTGTGGTCAATCAACGAATCGTTGGTCCACTCTCCTCGTCCTCCTTATCTCTGCCAATCTTATTCTTCACCCAATAATAATAATAACAATGAATGGTTGAGCCAGAACCAATATCCGAAGTTCCCTCTTACTGCCAGCCAACGAAGGTCAACCAAACCCATGATCTTCACTTCCAACCTCATACGGGTAGGTCATGGCTATGGCGGACTACTAGGGGCCTTGCCCCGATGTTCAAAAGACAACACAAAAGCAGCTATGTCCTCCACAGTCAGGCCGCCATGCCTGACTCTGCCCTGAAATCTTCTGGATGCAGTGCAACCCCTTTCCGGGCCTTCTCGGTGCAGTGCCCAGCAGGGGATGATTCAGAAGAAGTCCACCATAGCCGGTAAGTACCTCGCCACTCTCCTACTACACCCCCTTCTTCATCCTCCTCAAGCTGGGCTGCTTGCCATAGCCAAGCCGAGCGCCCAGCTCGTCTTCTTCATCCCCGGCGGCACTTTGAGAACCAGCACCCGCTCAAGCAGCGTGACGCCCAAACTTGCATACCGCAAATGAGGAGGTGCTACTTTGCTCCTCCTAGAGATAAGGCGGTCAACCAGCCTCACGGCTGGTGACTTCCAGGTCGCGCGGCCTCCAAGCAACTGGTACCTCTTCCCTTTTGAAGGGAAAAATCACTGCAGGCCCTGATATAGTCCGCACAGGCCCTAACTCAGGCTCCTTGGACTGGTACCCATGCACCTCGGCCTACTGGTTACTCAGCGTCTAAAAATCCCAACTTCTTCTGCTAGGCCTACCGCTACTTGAGTGCTACTGTCCTAGCCTACCCACTACTTGAGAGGCCCTAAGCTACGCGGACCTACTTGCCCCACTACTTGAGTGTTTTTGCTCGCTGCAACCCTCAAAGTCACGGCCACAGGTAAGTACCAGGCCCGAGGGTTTCACAAGCAAACAAGTACCCTGGCGGGTCACGCACACACTCAAGCACCCAGGCAACCCGACAAACATACGGAAACCCGCAAAGATGCTCACTCACAGACTTAGAAATCTCGGCAAAAGCGGGAATCTCAGCGGACACACAATCCGGTGGGAAGACTCAGAAATCACACCGTTCTTAGTCGGTGACTGTGCAGGTCATTACATCTCCCCCCTCTCAAGATCGAGGTCCCTTCGAGCGAGTAACTCATTCTGAGTCCCTGCGAAATGCATCATAAGCCTCCTGGTGAATGCCCTGATGGATTAATTTTCAATTAGGCAAATACCATATATGTATATATATAGCCTCCTGGTGAGTCAGTGAAGCTCCGACAAAACTGTCTGTCACAGCCCCTCATTTGTTGTCCTCTTCTCCCTCTCTACCTACGGTTTACCGGGCACTTTTGTTTGACAATATATGTATATATATAAATATGCAAGGAATATGAGCAAGTGCGTTATACAGAAAACCAAGTTGCGAAATCACACAGGTGTCCAAGTAGTCATGTACAAGCAGAGAGCGCAAGTCCACTGAGATTCCATCCAGATAAGAGCAATACAATGAACTCACGAGCCAATGTCCAAGCCCTCAGGCCACACCAGCACCGTATCCAATGTCGCTCCTACTCAGTCTGGTGTCCAGCGTCCAGCCTACACTACTCGCCTATCCTACTATAGCCGCATTCACGCAACAGGCTCACTTCGACTTTGAAGACCAAGGTACATGACGTCAACACCATAGCTGACCTCCCTCAGGCACCAGGTATGTATCTCGTGTCTCCCCTCATCACCCCTGACTTTCCACAGTGTGCATTCTCAACACCCAAAGACCACCATCGCCATCCAGACCTGCGCCCAACAGCCCGGCTATAGCTGTTGTGCGCCCCCTGCCCAGCAGTGCACCTCACACCCCGACACCCATGCGCGCGACCCAGCCGGCAGCTTCATGCAGATCACGAAGGTGGAACGCGGCAGCATGGCCGTATTGCCTAGGCCAGAATGACCTGCCCAGCGATGCTCACTTTCCTATATGGAAAGAGAGCTCTGCCTCTGCTGCCTCTGGGCCTGGCTGGGCGAGCATCCAGTAGCTTCCAGTCGGGCCGCAATGCGAGCGCCCAGACCCAGTTGCAGTTACGGGCGTAGGCCCTTTACAATTGGGCACGTCCAGGCAGTCCACGGGCCTCCACATGTTCGTTGAGATCTCATTGGCTCACGGCCACTATGTGCCGGCAATGTTGCAATCTCATTGGTCTGTGACTGTTGTATGATGTGTCGGTCTCTGAAAGCACACTCTGAAAGCACACGCCCAGGATCTCTGAAAGCACACGCCCAGATGGAGAAAGAAGGTTTTCTATAACATCGAGGACAACCATAGGCATTAACGTAGGTTCTCGGCATTCTATCCGCGTTCAAAGTGTCCAGTCGCATGTTTGTTTTTATTCTAAAAATAAACAACTCAAAGGTGTTTACTGTAATTTTTCAATTACTAGTATAGAAATTAAGTTTTATATTATTTATTGGGAGATCCTTGGTCTCTGCATCCCCATCTCCTGTACTTAGATTTGCATATATATATATATATTACTCCATAGTACCTGTTCCCCTCGCCCAAGCACATGGTCCGAATCTCAGAAGTAGGCGTTGACTCCTCCTCAACAGCATTGCACCACCCCCATAAATCGCTCTATGCGTCGTGCCGTACCTCTCCCTAGCCAGCCTCGAAGGTCGTGGTTCTAGGAAGAGTCAGGCGACTTTGATGACATAGGAGCAAAGGGGGTAGAGAACAAAACTTCTTGGAACAAGGCTAGTTGAGAGGAGGTCAATCTAGAT